AGCACCAAATTACAAAACAAGCTATTTCAAAATACAATCAAAATAAGTTACACAATTTGTGTAGTGTGAATTGCGTAGCTTATTCTGAGCTAAGGGTGCTGTGTAGAGGGACCCTATGGTGCCAGAGGTAGGAATTTCTATAAATTTGGTTTATCTGGTTGTTTTTTTCCAGGCTTTATTTTAAACAATAGTAAATTGTGTACACACAAAGCTATGTTAAGAGAGCATTAAGACTGCAAAGTCAAGCACACAGGCATTAGGAAACGCCCAAATTAAGGTGTCTGATGCATCGTGATACAGTTTCTAATTACTCAATCACATCTTGTCACAGGACTGCTGCCTCATTCAGTGCATAGGATGGACAATTTTAAATGAATGGGCAACATTAATATTTCTTCATAATATTTCTTCTTAATATTACTCCAACTCTGTAACCCTCATTTTATGAGGAGTAAGGGATGTCGAACAAAGAGTGTTCTTCCTTTGACTTCCTGCTGTGTAGACAGCGCCAAAAGCTGAATTAAGCTATTTCAACTTAAGCTACACAATGGATGTAGCTCAAGTTGTGTAGCTTAATTTGACTTTTGCCCAGCTGTGTAGATGTGCCCATAAATACTATAGTGTACTTCATGCCAAAACTGCAGTCTAAAAGCCAGCTCCCACTCATAACCTTTTTAAATAGGACCCATGAGTTGGACAGAGTGCAAGAGTGAAAAGGGAACACAAGTCCTCTCTTTGTGTTATCTGGAAATGCTGAGGAAAGGAAGAATGGCTCCAAAGTAAAATCAAAATACCTCAGGCCAGCTAATAGGAAGAACTTATTTGCGGAGGTATTAGGCAAATTAGAGCGTGAGTAGTGGCTGAGGAGCTGCCACTGGAGATACTTAAAAGAGGATGGGCTAAAACAAGCAGTATAATGTCTTGCCTTAAAGTCTGAGGGTTTTCAAATGCTTCCATCTATAACAACTGCATTGCTACTGGCTTTGTTGCTGAGACTAGTATCATCACAAGGCTGGCAGAAGACCTATTCCTGAGCCATTTAAAGATGGGCTGGATAAACCACTAAAATATACTCTCAACACTCCTGCATCAATAGATTAGATGCTTAATAAAACATACAAGCAGTGGCACGAGTCCCTTAATTCATGTCTGTTAGGTGATAATTGCTGCCTTCCAAATAATCACTGTTGCAGACCAAAACTTCACTGTAAATGTAATGAAGCTTTTTTTTTTTTTTTTTAAATAGGGCATGATTTACCTCTCATGGAAAGGAGTGAATATTGGATCAAGACCAATAAGTAAGATGAAATTTCACTGAAATGTACCAATTTCACTTCTTTCTAGGCCAAATCCTGGTGGCCTTTTATAAAGATTTTTCTCTAGTTGAGCTCCCTGGAAGTGGCCTCATGACTAGAGAATTTGAGTCTAAAATTTTAATGGTCTCCAAGCTACATAACTATCTGACAATGACTTTTTAACTGATGTATAAGTTCCATCTTTAGTGACCTTCTCCCACTTCACACTTGCCCATTTTGCTACGGTCTCTGTGAATGCAAGAGATGAGACCAATTCAAAACCACAACTAGTGATTTTCATTTTTCTTCAAAGCTGCCTGGCAATTGTGCACATGATTGTGATAATGTGAGGTGTCTCTTGTGTAGAGTGAAATGTAGAGAAAGAGGTCAGTGTTGCTAAATGCATAAGCCCCTTAATACTTAGAATGACAAATGCTGCTTAGACACAATACACTTAGAGCTTTTGATGTGATATAGTAGATTATTTCCTCTATTCCTCCCCCTCCCTCCCTCTTCCTCATTCTCCTTTCCAGACTTTTCACTTTTACAACATTCATAATAAACATCCTTCTGGAAGGATAGCTTGGGGATTTCAATATGGGACTGAAATACAAGTGATTTAGGTTAAATATTTTGCTCCACCACAGACTTCCTGTATATCCTTGGGCCGATCACTTTAATTTCTGTCTCTGTCCCCATATGTAGAGCAGAGATAATACTTCCATTCTCCCACCCTGTGTTTGTTTTGCAGTTCCTGCACTGAAGATCTTATTTTATGTAATGTGTTTGTACAAATGGGACCCCCTTTGACAGGACATTATTAGCAGCTGCAGCACTGGGAAGAATGCTGGTTTAGTTAAAGCGAAATCATTGATTTCTGTTCAGGAATATTTGCATTGGGGTGATTATTGCTGGGCTAATGGGGCAATTGGCTCCCTAACTGGAAGCCTAAAAGTGAGAGGAACAGGGAGAAGAAGCTTGACTCTTCTGAGCCTTGCAATTGCTTCTAACCCTAGGGCTACATCTACACTGGCGCGTTCTCACGCAAAAACTCTTCTGCAGAAGAATTCTTCTGCAAAAACTCTTCCACAAGAGAGCATCTACACTGGCATGTGCTTTTGCGCAAGAGATGTACTTTTGAGCAAGAGCATCCATGCCAGTGAAGATGCTCTCTTGAGCAAGAAAGCTCTGATGGCCATTTTAACCAGAGGTCTTTCTTGCACAAGAAATTCATGTTGCCTGTCTACACTGGCCTCTTCTTGAAGAGCTCTTGTGCAAGAGGGCTTCTTCCTGAGCCGGAGCACCAGAGTTCTCGTGCAAGAAGCCATGATTTTCTACGGTACAACATCAGTTTACTTGCACAAGAATGTGCGGCCAGTGTAGACAGGCGGCATGTTTTTGCACAGGAGCAGCCATTTTCGCACAAGAACGCACCAGTGTAGACACTGCCTAGGAGTCTAAGCTCAGAGAATGAGTTCGGAATGAGGGATGAAGGCTGCAAGGAAGCCTCCTCTTGCTGTAAGTCTGAAGTTACACTGTCATGCTTGTAAGAAAATACTAAATGCACACAGAGAGAGGGTAACAATTTAGTGTGTGCTTGTGACACTGAGACCACATGCACTGGCCAGGCAGTATGCTACCCTGGGGAGCCACTGAGCTGCCCTGTGATAGGAACTGCAGTTGTTATATGGGGCCTATGTGCTGCAATAATGTAAAACAATATTCCAGGTACATGACAGAATTCAGATGTCAAATAGATAAGAAACCCAAGCCACACTGCATCACTCTCCTGTGCAAACCTTTGTAAGCTGAAATGCTGTGGTTTTATGTGTAAAAAAGAAAAGGGAGAGGGGTAATGTTATATACAATTGATTTTTAATGTAATGTAAAATAGCACAAAACCCATCATTATAGGAAGGGTGCATTTACCAGCAGATACATTGTTATTTGATGTAAGGAAACATTTGCACATGAATATTAGGACAGAAAAGAGAAATTACAGGGCTGGTCTGTCATTTGTGACAAGTTCAAACTCGGCCTACAGGTGCAGAAAGTGGAGCAATGTGAGAGAAATGTGACCCTTCTCAACTCTCTCTCTCCTTCTGATACTGGGCTTGCAGGGGCATCAAACAGCCCCTATGATGAGTTAAGCACCCGACCCACTGTTCTGGATTAGAATGGCTGCAGTAAAAACAAAATATAGAGAATAGGATCAGTGAAATGCTAGTCACTCTTCCTTTCTCTAACCCCACCATACTCTACAGAGATACATCTGCACTGGAATAGATCAGCAGCACAGCTGCAGCTGTCTCATGTCACCTGACTTGGGCTCAAACTATGGGGCTAAAATTTCCTGAGTAGACATTCAGGCTACATCTATACTACAGGCTTCTTGCGCAAGAACTTTTTGTGGAAGAGATCTTCTGCAAAAAGTTCTTGCGCAAGAGCGCATCATTGCTGCTATGGACGCTCTTGTGCAAAAAGCTCTGATGGCCATTCACAGAATGGCCATCAGAGCACCTGTGCTTTTTCTGATAGGGGGTAACGCAAGAAACCCTGTTATCCGTCCACACATGCCTTTTTGCACTAGAGCTCTTGTGCAAAAAGGCTTATTCATCGTAGGAAGAAGAATAACTCTTGTGCAAAAAGCTCTGTCTTCTGACAATATACTGTACTTTTTCTTGCACAAAACACACTTGGGCTACGTCTACACTGGCATGAATTTCCGAAAATGCTTTTAACGGAAAAGCTTTCCGTTAAAAGCATTTTCGGAAAAGCGCGTCTATATTGGCAGGATGCTTTTCCACAAAAGCACTTTTAACAGAAAAGCGTCCATGGCCAATCTAGATGCGGTTTTCCGCAAAAAAGCCCCGATCGCCATTTGCACGATCTGGGCTTTTTTGTGGAAAACACTACCATGCTGTCTACACTGGCCCTTTCGGGCAAAAGTCTTTCGGAAAAAGACTTTTGCCCGAACGGGAGCAGCATAGTTTTTCCAGAAAAGCACTGATGATTTTACATTAAATCGTCAGTGCTTTTCCAGAAATTCAAGCAGCCAGTGTAGACAGCTGGCAAGTTTTCCCAGAAAATTAGATGATTTTCTGGAAAAACTTGCCAGTCTAGACACAGTCTTGTAGTGTGGATGCTATGTGAGTTATTGCACAAAAGTTATGCAGAATAGATGTAGCCTTAGGCTCAGGGACCTACTCCCTCATGGGGTCCCAATCTTTGGCTCCAGCCAGAGCCCAAAAGTCTGAACAGCAGCCTAATTGTCCTGAAAACCTGAGTCAGCTGATCCAGGCCAGAACCAGGTGTGTGTTTGCTGTGTAGATGTACCATATGTGAACAAGGGAGGGAACACGTGGCAACAGGAGTCCTTGGCTGTACTTTCAGGTCAACTATCTAACTGCTTTGCAATGCTGTGTTCTTGGTTGGGGCCAAGAATCTAGTCCACGATATTAAAGACCTACTTCAAAGGTGCCACATGAGCTAATGCATGGACAATATGTGGTTAACAAAGTAAGACAGGGATTCTCAAACTTCATGTCCCCCTTCTGACAACAAAATTACCACATGGCTCCAAAGATAGGGAAGGGAGAGCCTGAGGCCTGCTACCCCAGGTAGGGGTAATATGGGATGCAGCCTGAGCCCCACTGCCCTGTGTGGGGGAGTTTGGTCCTCAGCTTCAGCCCTGAGTTGCAGGAATCTAATGCTGGCCCTGGCCATCTCAATAAAAAGGGGATCCACTTTGGGATCCTGACCCCCAGTTTAAGAACCCCTAGAGTAAGACTCCATTATGACTACAGTGATCAGCGGCATGAGGATGGTCAGCCAAATACTTCTTGAGTTTGAACTCAGTCCGAACTGCCAACCTATGTTAGTGAAAATAATTCTGTTTTGTGGAAGAGTCCTGTGCCCTGAAATAGACCTCAGTTCTCTCCTCTCTACAGAGAGGATCTAAAGAGCCATCACCAATATTCCTCACTTGTATTTTAAAAGATTATAAAAGTATTAAGAAAATAAACCTGTCATAGTGTTTTATGATTACATCATGTGCTTTTGTCTATGCCTTACGAAGGTAAAAAGTTGCCTTGATCTTAAGGAGAGCACAATTTTCCAAGAAAGAGTATGGTGTTGGTGCGACTGTGCTGGATAAAGAAAATAAAAGGATGATCAGCCATAAATGAGCCACCAAGTGGATAGGATTTGTCAACAACAACACTTCCTGTAGCAGCTGTTGCCAAAGTGCCTTCCTCATTAACTTCCACACAGGCCTTGTGGACAACCTTTGACAGATATAGCTGTCGGGAGGGAGCCATTCCAGAGAGATCAGCTTTTGATTCCTCAAAGACATCGGTCATCCCCAACTCTTTTAAAGGCAAGTTGAGCTCAAAGGTATCTTCAAGTTTGAATCGTGGCAAATATACTTCCACTTCCCTCTCTCTCGTGCTTTCCAAGGAAGTGCAGAGTGTTAATTTATCATAAGTCATTGCGCTTTCAACCTATCAGCCCAAAAAGAGAAATAAAGGTACATGATAAAATGAACTTAGAGGTTCAGAAAAGTTTAGTTCTTTATTCAAGTTTAATTCAGATAAAAATATTTTAACATTATTAAGTAACCAAAGCTCAGCCTACTTCCCAGATGTTCAGTGGTATAATGTTTTTACCTGTTCCAGACCAGTGATTTCATCAGGTAGCAGTATGATCATATTCAGTGATTTTCCAGTATATGGGATCACAAGAATCTGAGCTTTCATCTCCTCTATGTGGGCAGTTTTGAATGTGCCTTTCTGATACATCATCTGCACAGATTGGCTCTCATTCTGTTTAAAAGAAAATGATATATAAATACAACTGACACTGCCCTTCTGCATTTAAATAAACGATACAGTATCAGTGTGAAGTGTTCACCAGAAGATTTATTGCAAATAGGCTAAATACTTTATAAATCATTTATATTAGTATATAGGGGTATGTCTACACTACCCCGCTAGTTCAAACTAGCGGGGTAACGTAGGCATACCGCACTTGCAAAGGAAGCCCGGGATTTGAATTTCCCGGGCTTCATTTGCATAAGCGGGGAGCCGCCATTTTTAAAACCCCG